ATCCTTGTTTTATTGTAATCAACTTTATCATGTCATCATCATTTATTATAATTATTATTACTTATTAATAAATTAACAATTAATGTTAATTTAGTATTTTTATTCTCACCATCTTCATCATTAGCATTATATTGTAATAATCCATTTTTAAACCTTAAATTTTCCATTTATTTTCAAAAATATAATTTCAATAAAATTCACTCCGTTTTCGTAATTTTGTAATTCTTGACACTTTTGTTTATTTTATTTTATTTTATATGACAAGATAGAAAAATAAAAAATAAAAAAAGTGAAATGAGAGGTAATAAAAAAAAGAATATTCATTTTTTCATTTTTTATATAAATAAAAAAATACACATTAGTTTTTTTTTTAAATAATGAGAAAAGTCCCGATAATATAAATAAGAGAAAATCCTATATTAAAAAGAAAAGAGACCAACAAAAAAGAGAAAAAAAAACCCTGGAGATTAGAGAGAAGATTAAAAAAACAAAAAGCAAGATCAACAACCACATTACCTTAACATCACCACTTTTTCCATGCTAGCTGATGAATATATCAGCCTTGTCCTCACCACTAATTCGATGGAAACACACACAAAAAAATAACTCAAAATTATTTCTAAAAAATAACCTAGAAAGCAGCACCATCACAACCCAGAAATTCAAGTTCTTTAGTTTATTTTTTGTGTGTAGATTTAGTGACAGCACAAGATAGACATGCGCCGTCACTTTCCAATTACTTCCCAGCACTCGCGCGTAAGGTGCAGTTGCTGATGCTACCTGATCAATTTCTAGGAGCTTTTGCCCAATTCCCATCGTTCTTGAATGGTAATTTTGAACCCGAACAAATTCTCATTTGTCGATTTTGTGGTCCTGGGTTTTGTATACATTAAATTATTTCACCGCATTGTGTGTTAATTTTTCTAGTCATTCGTACAATCAACTCATGATAAATAAATTATTATTTGATGTTATTTAGAAAAGTTGACACTTGGATGAAAAATTATTTGATGTGATTTGATTTGATTTTATCATGATAAAATTATTTATGAGAAAAAATATTTTTTTTGTGTCCTTTTTTTCTGATATTTTATTGGATAATATTTGTTTTTCTTATTATTCACAATATCAACAAAAAATAAATGAATCATCTATGGTCATTGTTCAAGAATATTGATACATAAATGGAAAATCTACTTCATGCGTAATTTGTTTAATACATTCAAAATTATTGTAGAAAATATCATACTTTTTCATTCTTTTCTATAATTTTTTTAGTTATTAATTGTTTTTGTTATTTATAAAGTTAATCCAAGATAATGAATTATATGGTCAATATTCAAAGATATTTACGAGTGAATGATATAAATTACTAATACATGAATCTTTGTTATTCAAAAATAAAAAACAATAACTTATTTGATTTTAGTTTTGGGTGTTTTGGGAGGAAAAAAATTGAGCCGGATTAATACAACTCTATATAGGTGTATTAAATATAATTTTACACTCATTTTAAAACATAATTAAAAGAGATATGTCAACCATCAATGTATCATTGCAGGTCCAATATATGTAATCTAAAAGTAAAGATTCGATTTTTTTTATGTATCCATGTGGTGTCACGATAATTATCCTCTTAGATCAAGATTGTCGAAAATAATGTGGGTGGAAAAGATAAGAAATCCTTATCCTTTATTAATAGAAAAAGAAAATGGGAGTTATTAACTAGTATTTTGGTCATAAGAAATCCTGACAGAGTCTGGGTAAAAGGATTGATTACATAAAAAGAATGCATTATAACCACTAATATACTTTACCTGAGGTAAACTATATTATTTATTTGTTTGATATAAACTAAGGTAATGTTATGCTTTTTAACCATTGGTCTATCTAGAGTTTAAGAAAAGTCTTAATAAGAAAATTATTATTTTATCATGTTAAAACTTAATCATTCTAATGCTAAAATAAAAATAAAGTAAATGAGTTTATGTAATTTAATACCAGGAATACATCTTATATATAATTTCATAATTCCACATATTAAAATAAATAAAATAAGTTGTTGCGCCATTTTTGAAATGTTGGCCAAAATCCTTTAGAATTTTACAAACTTGTTGTAAAATCTACGCAATATTCTTTTTAAACATGTAAAGGGTTTTAGACTTTTTTTTTTTAAATACTTAAATAATTTTAGGATTTTTACCCACATGTAAGAAAAAAATAAATTTTTTATTTTTATTTTTTAGGCCTTTATCTTTCAAGGCCTTCTTGAATACAAATACTAATTAATCTCTTAAGCTTCACAAGCAATTTCAATTTTAGAGATTTGGTGAATATATCAACGACTTCATCTTCACTTTTGCAATATATTATCTCAATGGTTTCATCCTTTGTGAGATCTTTTAAGAAGTGAAACTTTATATTAATATAAGTTTTTTTTTTACCATATAGAACTGAATTTTTTTTATAGTTTGATTGTTGAGTAATTGTTACAAAAAATTATCATAGGCCCTTATCTCTTGGAATTAAGTTCTCCAAGAATTTTCTTCAATCATATTGTTTGACATATATATGAAGTTACAACTATAAATTAAGATGGTTAATAAAATGACAATTGATTGCTTCTTTAAAGACCATGGAATAACACTTGAATTAATCTTAAAAACAAACCCATAAGTTCTTCTATTATCTTGATCTCTTGTCAAATCTGATTTTCATTTTTTATAGAACAATCTATACTCTATAGTACCTTTTAAGTATAAAAGTATCTTTTTAACAGTTAAAAGATAAAATTATATTGGATTCTTCATGTATCTACTAACAATACTTACTGAATACATTACATTTGACTTTGTTGTTGTCAAATACATCAAACTCCTTACAATTTGTGATGCAATACTAGCTATGACATTAAATGATCAATTAGGAGTGTCCATTGAATATATTACAAGCCTAAAATAAAGTGAATTCAAGACAAGTTCAATTAACTAAGTCAAGAGGCTTGGGTAAAAATGGTTCAAATTTGTCAATTTATAGCTTTCTTTATTTTTAAGGTCATATTTAAAGCTACAAGAGGAGTTTTGATGTGATTTAAATGGGTTGGAAAATAGATATTTGTACCATTCCAAGATATATGATAGGCCCGATAATTAGTCTGGACAAGAGAAAATGACATGTTTAAAATTGGGTCTAAAATTTGTTAGCAAAGTACAAAAATGAAAAAAAAAATATTGTTTCCTTGAAAGTTATGAATTGTATTCACTACAAGGAGTCCTTAATGGTGGAACTTATATGACAACCTTTAGCTTATTTATTTTACAAGGATTCCATATCAAATAAAAAGAATTAACTAATGAAGAATTATTTTTTATTTTATAAGGTATCAAACTTGTATTCAACAAGAATTCTTCAAAAATTATTTATCTTAAATTTTTTCACTATCATATGTGGAAAAAAGGTGAAAAATAATTTAGACTATTTTTTTTTATTTTTAAACCTTAATTTAATTACTTTGGGCTTTTATTTAAATTAAATGCATATATGATCCATTAGTATTAAGGTTTTTTTTTTCTTTCAATAGTATAAATACTCTTTGTAGTGTCTTTCTTGTACTTTTTATTTGCAAATTGGTATTTTTAGGTTGGAGATTTTTGTTTCAATAGTGTTGGTGCCTTAGAACAACTTTTGATTGTGTTACATTCTTATCAAATCTATTTTAACTTTTCAAGATTCATTTCAACTTTTTGAGATTCATTGTCAATGTTGTTGTGAGTTTCGTGACCAAGTGATCATGAGTTTCACATCAATTTGCTTGTAAAGATGTAGTTAACCTTTTTTTTCCTCCATAATCCTTATTTAGCTTCAAACTGTTGGTGTACTTATCGAATTGCAATTCTTCATTCTAAACTTCTTTAAGATTTCTCAAACATCTCTTTTTGAGAAATAAATATTCTAGCATTTTATTGAACCACTTCAAAATCATGAAAATAATGTAACTTTTCAAGATTGATATATCAAATTTAGTCATCATGAACCTTTTAAAGTCTCCAAACATAACATCTTTCCTTGATCTTTAATTTTAATAAAAAAATATATTATACAACTTTTACATCATTCATTCAATAAACAAGTATTTATATGACTATATCAAGCTCTTAGAACTTTAGCCCATAAAAAACATTTTATAAATTATATATCTCATTCTCTTTATTAAATTTCATGTAACTTAAAAGTTGATCTATAAATATCTATTCTTAAAGATTTTCATCTAGAAAAGTTGATTTTATATTCAAATAAAAAATAAATCATGAATTTTGAATTGTCAAATCAATAGTCAATCTTATTGCATCATCCTCTACAACCAGAGCAAAAACTTTCAGCTATCCAAACTTTTTTGTGATTGACTTTTTTGTGATTGACATCATACTCTTACTTGTAACTTTAGCTATAAGCATGCTTTATAATTGTTAATTTTAACATTCTTTTTTTTACACTCTTTTTACACCAATAATTTCTTGTCTTTTAAAAAACTCTAACTCCCAAATCCCAAGTGTTTTTTTTTCCTTTCCCTTCTCCTCTATGACACCAATTCTATTATCCATAGTTTTTTTTTTAATCACTCTCTTTAACATCATCTTTAAAATTTATTGAAACAAATGTTGTTTACGCGGGCTTCATTTAGTGGGAGGAAGATAAATTGCTCACAGGACATTCCAAATCCTCAAAGGTTGATGTGGCACAATATGGTTTGCAGATGCTGCATTCCTCTGCTCATGCGAGTGAATTTTTGTCTCCCTCAGTATTTTTAACAATACTCAACAAACATCGGACTCAGGAGAGATGCCCTCCAATGTGCCTAATCTTGCTAGCAAAAACAAGGTTTCTTCTCCACTTCAGAAGTTTCTAGGTTATCAAATTTCTGACGAATGGCTGAGTTCTGATGTCTCTTTAATGAAGAGGAATGTGAAAACAATGACACCCTAAGGGCAAGAAAAGGAAAATGACGAAAAAACAAATTAATCCGAATAAAAAGTGAAACAATCAATAAACACTCACTTTGCGATGTTCAAATACTTGCGTGGTTAGTTTCCAACAATTGGGACATGGAAGTTGCATGATCATCTGCAGCAAAGAGGGCGACCTAAAGCCAGTATAACGCCAAAGAATTACTTTGTTTTCCTATCAAACTAATTTTGTTTGGGAGGTTTCTGAAGCCATTTCCCTTGAGCTAAAGTTATGAAGCTAAAGCATCGATCATCTGCTAATTTGACTGCTACAAATACATAACTTTGATTGTTCATTGGATCCCATCCAAGACCTGCTTTCACAGGAGATTTTGGATCCCATCCAAGACCTGCCTTCACAGGAGATTTTTCTTGATCAGATACAGATCCTGTCCAAACCAGTTTATAATGCTCACAAAACAACCATGACCTAACACAAAGTCACTTGTTCAGTTTGAGATGATAAAAGTCCATGGTGAGCATTTCTTAGCAGCATGAAAAGGTATTGTTTACTATTACAGATAGAGCACTATAGATTTCAGAGATGTGGTTCAAGAAACTCTGCTCAATTCAACAAATTCTCAGGTGCTAATTCAGTTGCACCAGTTCTACTTCACTGTAACTCATAAGATGAAAAACTGAAATCTGATCAATAAGATGAAAAACTGAAACCTGATCTTCCCTCATTGGTGGATTTCAGTTCAAGCTTCTGAAACGGGCTGCAAGATAAATGAAGAATGATTCATTACCATATTTCATTCATAAGTTTGTTTTGCAGTACAGAAAAGTAAACAGTGACTACACGGTGGGAACATGCTTGATCTAGTTTAACGAATATGATATTTGTAAAAATAGATAGAAATTGCCATCATAACATTTAATATCCAGAGAAAACAACAAGTAACGTTATGTAGAATCTCAAGCCCAAGGAAAATGGGAGAAGTACCTGCTGTTGGGATCATAGTAGCAGCCATTGATGGAACCATCAGTACAAGAGAAGCAAACATAGTAAAAACCAGCTATGGTCAACCCACAGTCTGTTCCAACGTTGACAAAGTATTGCTCTTTCCATCTCTAGACACAGACCACACAAAATCTCAAGTTACTAGTTCTGATATAATGATTCTATCACCAAATGCTCAAATGTTTGATCATGTATTACCATAAATTTGTACCGATAGTTAATCAAGTCCAAAGACTTGCCACCATCAACCTTCAGTTGTTCCTGTGAATAACAAAATCAATCAGAGAGCACTTATCCGGCGTATATGCAAAAGAAGTTCTGGATCTTACCAGCAATGGTTGGAAAGACGGAAACTTAGTCCAGTGCCTTATATCATCTTCTGACCTGTAAATTTTCTTGAAATAATTAAAAAGGAAAGTATTGTCCACAATCACTCATATCTAACATGATACATGCATTAAAGATGGAGTTAAGGCACATACGAAGCTTCCCATTTGCCAGTGAAGAAAGTGTAATTCTTGCCATCAACGATTTCTCCTTCCCAAAAGGTTACTACCTGACACATCATAGCTAAACAAAGTAAACATAACTGCAAGTACATTCTGCATATTCACCAGACCACCGTAAACCTGCAAGAATAATAATAAAAAAAGTAGCATTTTACAGAATCCATGCATCCCTTTGATTAGGTCCAACTGCATTCAAGTCCCGTCCTAAGGATACTCTAGCAGGAACAAATCCATTCCAAATTGGATCCATAAGAATTAAGTGCGAGAAATGAAATAGCAAGGCACCAATATGTTACAATAACATGAAACACCCTACAGAGTTAATACCACAGGAAGATCCAACGCACGTGTTGTTAGCTCAGACTGCGGATGATCAAAGAAGCATGGAAACATAGCCACACATTAACAAATGAGTTAAATCCTAGTTGAACCTTTTATTAGCCAAAAATGGAAGGAATTTTAACAAAAAAAAATACTTATTTTGCAGGTCTAAAAGTAGGAAGATAGAAGGAAATGGTAACGTACGGGTGTGTCAGCCATAGGAACATTAAGGGCTTCCATAGTACCACATAGGTAACCATGATCAAGGTCACATCCTTGAATGCGAACATTAACTCTCCAAGCTTCTTGAATGCGAACATTGACTCTCCAAGCTTCATCCTTCTGAAGACTAGAAACATTCTGGGTTCCAGAAAAGGCCTGTTTCAACCCAACAACAAATAAATTAAACAACGCATATGAATTCACAAAAATGAACAGCGAGAAATGGGGGGTATTTTCACCTTCACAGTGTTAATTATCATTAAAAAAAATTAGAGAGAGAGAGCAAAAGGCTTACCTGTCCAACAGTCAAAAGAGTACAAACTGGAGGTGAAGTGTGTCCTGATGAATTTTCACCTTCACAGTGTTAATTAATCATCATCATTGATTATTATATTATAATTAGATACTAAACCTAATCAAATCGAATAATTGAATTAGAGGTGGTGGTACGAACGAAGGAAGCAACGAATACCTGAAAGTTGAGAAGGTGCGGAGGAGGAGGAGGAGGTTTCTTCGACTCTCACCGGCATTATCTTTCTGTTTTATGTATTTTCTTTCTTGATCACTTGCTGTCGTTGTTTTTGCTATTTCCTTTTCAATATACAAATGCAATTTCACCCTCTCTCTCTCTCTCTCTCTCTCAAATGACTTTCTTTCTTCCACTAAAAAAGAGAGAGAAATGGATGCAACGCCGGACCATCTGCTATTGTATGACCTGTATTCTATTATAAGGTAGCGTCGTTTCCAAGCCCTATATATTTATTACATTGTTATTAATTAACTTAGAAAAAAAGAGAGAGAGGGGATTTCACTTTATATCTACTTATAAAATATTATTTATTTAAATAGCATTTTTTTCAAATCTATTTTGTAATTTAAATTTTATACTAATTATTGAATTTTATAATTTATTTTTTATGAGATTATTCTAAACTCGTTTATTTATACTACTAATTTAATAAGTTAATTCAATGGGCTTGAGTTTTTTTTCTTTTGCTACTTTGCTTTTTTTTTTTTTCCAGTTATATTCTTTAATATTAGATTTATTGATATTAGACTTTGTAATTTGTTTCGGGTTTTTTTATGAGGTTTTCTCTTATCATGATTTATGTTATGGGTTTGACAGGTTAACTTAAGTTGACTCGGGTTTTTTTTTAATTTTTAATTTTTTAATTTCATCTTTTAACAATAGGTTGATTGAAAATTAAGCTTTATAATTTCCTTCAATTTGCTTCCTACTAACTTATCATGATATTATGACTCGGTTCGCAGGTTTGATAGATTAACCTAAATTAACACGAGTCATTTTTTTTAATTGAATATTTTTCAATTTCATCCTTTTAAAATTGTGTTTATTATAAATTAGATTTTATAATTTTATTTTGATTTGGTTACTAAGGGTTATAATAGTCTCATGACACAACATGCAAATTGTCAAGTTAAACCATGTTAATTTGAATCCATCCAATATGTTATCGTTTTAATATTTATAAAAAAATCTCATTTTAAATATTTATTTTAAATCAAACTATGTTTTTACAAATTCTTGGAGTGGCCTTCGAGCCTGCCAAGGCGACTAGTTTACATTGGATCAATACCTATATGATTTATTTTTTTAGTATAAAAAAATATTAGCAATGCCTAAATATTTTTTTCACTTAAAAAAAATTGATCCGACCTATAACATATCATAAGCCAATGATCTAGTGCAAACTAAAAGGCATTGGCAAGTATTGTAGATACAAGATCAATTGTGGATTGCCATGCACAATGCAATTTTTTTCATCCTATTATTTATTTTATTTCTCTCTTACAAAACTAAATTGAAGGACAATTTTAGTTAATTTTTTAGAAAATGACAAGGTTAAAAGATAATGGACTATAATTAAAAAAAATAGAAGACATGGGTGGTGCTTTCAAAATTATGGTAAAGCATTCATTATAGTCCTCATACTTTCTAAATTAAAATTATTAGGTACTTTATATTTTTAAAATTTCAAGAAAAATCAATTATGATCAAAACATATTTTATTTTTATTTTTTTGTTTGTACTTTGAGAAATGAAAGAGAAAATCATTGGATTCTAAAAATAAAAAATAAAAATCATTGCTTAACATCTATTTCAGCCACTAAAGTGGTTGATCTTGGTGTCAACATGATATATTTGATTAGAGAAGTTTTACTTGGTTATTTTTTTCACTTTCATAGTTTCTAAAAAACAGTAGATTTGACATCAAGAAAAAAATTATTTCGAGTTGATTTTAGGTTTTTGAATCGATAGGTTATTTAAGGTCATATATAGGTTATTAAGAGTATTTTTTAGGTGTTTTTGGTATAAAATAAAGTTGAAAGTTAACTTTTTAATGTGTGTATGTGTGTGTTTTAATGTTCTTTTTTTTTTTTGCTTAAAAAATACTTTCTTTTTATCAATCTTTAAAAAATAAGCGCTATTTTCTATTTTAGTCTCACACACCACCCTTAATTTTTACTTTTAAATAATAATAATAATTTCTAACATAAAAAACATTTTGTGCACCTGATTTCTATATAAGTAAATGAAGATTAATTTGAAAATAAAACGGTGTTTAAATCCAAGGGGTCTCATAATCCAAATTTCATGTATGAAAGGTTGAACTAATTAAATCTTTTTTTTTTTAACTTTTTTTAATTGAATATTTTTATTTTTAATTTTAGCATTCAATATTGACTTGAATGAAAATTGAGAATATCAATTTGTTTTTGTTTACCTTTTATGGGGTTATTAATATCTCATCACCTGAGATATAAATTTAGTTGATTATATCTTTTTTACATAGGTAGATATAACATGTCATCATTGTCAGGTTTTTTTTAAAAAATATATGTGTGATAGAAACAATAAATTTAAAATTTGTTTGGAGTCTCAAAGATTCCGTTAGACAGATCTAGAATTGTTTAGGATTTATACGAAGATTACATGAAGATTAGATGTTCTTTTTGTCTGTGAATATTTTCTTCAATGCTAGTGAAAAATCAATGAAAATTAAAAAAAAAATCATTTCAAATATTTAACTTTTAATAGTTATCTACATGAACCACAAATAAAAAATCTCATAAATCCTTTTAAGAGAGAGAATGTTATATCTTACAATGATAACTCTTTTCTTTTATGTTTTAGATTTTTCTATATTGTACTCTTCTCACCTCAGCAAATAAGAGATATAATATTTTATTTAAATAAAAATATAAAAACCCTTTGAATAGTAAAATTACATATATTATTTTAGAATATTTTTAGAAATTTATTCAATCAAGTCCCTATTTACTTTTTCTAAGTTTAGAATTGTAATCATTTGTATTAATTACATTCCAATCCTTAATCTCTTAAATTTATTTAAAATCAAGTTACACTTTATTAATCATTCCATTTTAATTTTGAATCATTGGTTCTTATATGTATAACTCATATAAGTTAGCTCAAATATAAATTATACTTCTAAATATAATATTAAATAAATTAAATAATTTAATTTATTATTAATTTAAAAATTGAATGACTTATATTTGAAGATCAAGAACAATGTCTAGTCACTTGTCAAGATCTCTCAAATATTAAGAAAGTTATAAGTGATTTAACTTAATTTTTTAGTAATCAATTTTATAATGTAATTATTATATCTTTATCATGAATATTTTGATTTAGACATTATAGCATATAATGTGTCTATTTTATTAAATTATATTAGTTCTAAACACTATAGTAATTGATTTTTTAAATATTTAAAATTCTTTTCAAATCTTATTCCACCTTAACCAATTACTTAAATACCTTATATACAGTTTATGCTATCCTCAATATTTATTTATTTGTTACCCTTGATTATTACAACTTATAGTTAGGATCAAAACATAATCCTCTCTATATAATATAATTTAATGATCTCAAGTTTAAAAATTACTCACAGAACTATCACATGAACCTTTGTATAAACATATATGCTCTTTTCATATGAAATTATCTTGCAAAACAGTTCAGTATATATGTCATCTAATTATACACCTGCATATGAATTCCAAATATCTCTTACACAATAATTTATTAGAGCAACTGCTTTTTTTCATAAATAAAGGAAAATAATATACAATGGTCCTTATAACTCTAATTAATGTCAAATATTTTGAAATAATATGAATATCATAATTATAATAATTTTATAATTTTTTTATGTAAAGTATTTTTTTCTATAGATTTTATTTTTACTTTAGATTTATTAATAAAATATAAATATATTTTACATGAATAAAATCAATGCTAGTGTAACCAACCAATTAGTTACATGTCTTATTCACTAACAAATATCTCAATATTCTTATTAAAAAAATTCAATATGTGTCATATTTTGAATTCATGATTAATTTTTGTTCTCTTAAAAAACACATTAACGATGCCTAGATATTTTTTTTGTGTGAAAGAAAAAGATTAATCTAGCATGTTTTCTTTTAATTTAAATTCAAGAAGTTTTTTTATTTCAGGTTGATTTTTAAATTTTTTGGTTATTTAAAATTATAGATGAGTGTACTAAAATATATAAGATATTTTCTTGATTTTTTAATCAAAATAAAATAAAAATTAAATTTTTTAATATAAAAAATCCATGGTAAAACTTTCAAGCAAAGTGCCTGAAATTGTACCCGCTAACAACACCCTACATGCAAAATTTTTGTTTTTCATGAAATCATATCTTCTTTTATCTTAGTTAGAGTTATTTTTGGACTACCCTTCATAAATTAGTTTTAGTCTTTATTGAATCGCTATATTTGTTTTTTATGTTACTTGATTAAATACCATTTATTTATTTTTGGTTAAATTTTATGAAATTACTTTCTTAACATTAACCAGTATTCTGTTTTTGTAACCCTTTGCCATAGTTTTGGCTCACGATCAAAAATTATTTTACTCACATTAAAAAAATGGATGCCTGCAAAAATTACATTGCTAATAGCTAGACATGCGAGCCAAATACTTTTTATCAAGGATTTTTGGCCGGAAGCTTCACATTTGAATATGAATGAGAAATGGGTCTGGCAATTTCAGAAGAAAAAACACAAGTAGCCGTAGCGATGAATGTTTCATCCTAATTCCTATACATAATTAATAAATTATTTGGAAATAATTAATAAATGCAAGCTCTTAGAAGGGGACATCATCACTTCGTTTTTACTGGAGGAGCTACTGTTTTCTTTCTATTTTGTTCACACACTGCAACATCATTCTCTTTTTTGTTAGATTAAGTATGATTTAATTTGATTATATATATTAACTCACATTCATGTGACTGTAATTTTATCTTTTTCATATGCATCCCCAGAGGACAGTTTACTACATGAAAAATCCAGAGGATAATATCTTACATATTGGCCTTTTCAGGAACTCCTCGGATTCCCCAGATAGTTTGCACATGAATTCTTGACAAGGTCTTGAAAGAAAACAAAGAACTAACGCCCCTTGAAAGGTGTGAAAATGTTAGGCCCCCAGAATAAAGACAAAGTGGATAAATGTCTGGCAGAGGAACACCCCACTCTCTAGGAACTGCATTACTTGGCGCGTGCTTGGCCTAGCAGCTGGGTCAGAATGAGAGCACATCAAACAAAGTTTCAACACCAATTCCATTTCTTCTGCAATACATTCTGTACCCGAGTTTGGATCCCTGGCCTCTAGAAATCCACCTCTA